GTTTGCTTGATATGAAACAACTAAATATTGTACAAGCATTGAACTAAGATAGTTGCAATTACAACTTTGCCTTCATTCATGCAGAATGGAAATGTATGCATTTGATTCTCAATTCTGAAATATTTCACAAGGTGTTTGAAAAAAGAAAAGTCTTTTAATATCACTATCACTTTCAATATATCTATCAGTTTAATATCAATTTTAGATTGCAGTTTGGGCTCCATTGTGTGGTCTACTTGAATTGCTCCATTATAGACAAGACATAAAACTGTCTGGCAGCATTACTGGAAAGTTCCAAATTGGAGACAGTTGCCCTAATCTATTGTATTACTTATTTATAAAAAAAAAGTATTCTTATAAAAAGTTCTAATCAATTAAATTTAATAATTAATAATCAATTTATAAAAGTTCAATAAGTGAACTACATACTATTCTATACCTGAAGGGTAGCTTTGATGCAATATTGAAATTTTGATAAAATATTTTTTTAAAATCTGATGTCATACTTGGGGACAATTTGAATTTCATCAATCTATTTTGTCCAGTGATTCATTTCTTCCTCTACACCTTAATTTATCTGCAATCTCACTACTGTCTACGCTGATTAACTTCAAAGATGGAGTCACCTGATGCTTACTGAGCATTTTTGCATTCACAGAATCTATTTACTCCAACTAAGTTTCAGTTTATTTAGAAGTAGTCTGGAGATAACTTATTTCCCCAAGTTGATTCCCTATCTTTCAATTCAGTTATATAACAGAACTTCTTTTTCTACCATACAGACAGTTCACGTGTAGGCAACATTTGCAAACCATCAATTTTGCCTTCTTGGTTACAATTGCCAATCATACAGAGCAAATAAGAGAATCAATAGCCAAACTTTTAAAATAATAGACATTTCAACTAATACATTCTGCTTTGAATTTGTAATCATGTAATTTGAAATGCATAGTTAGAGGTAAGAACAGGGATTCCTTGTTTTCTCAGACAAAACAAAACCTAATGCTGATGAAGCAACTTCTTCAAAATTAGATGAAAAGCCTATACTTTTCATCTATTGCCTGAATCAGAAACAAGTGACACTCACCATTCATAGCTCAAATAAAAGGATAAAGAGGAAAAATCCACTCTTGTGACAAAGGTCAAACATTTGCCAAAAAAGAACCTGCTTCTCTCTTTCCTCCTTACTCTTTGAATGTTTCATGGGACAGCTTTGTCAGGAATGGTCCCATGAGGATGCAGTAGGCTCCAGAATGTCCCCTTTGCCTAAGGGATGCCCTGTAGCCACCCTGATCAGTTTAGGGTCATTTCACTTGTGTCATCCCAGTTCCGGTTGTTTTTCCTCTAAAACTGTCAAGTACTTATTAGAAGCTGAATGTGAATATGTTGCTGCGGGCTGAAATTAGTCCCCCGTCAATTTAGTATTAGTCTATTACTTAAACAAAATCTATGTAGAATGGCAACCAAATGATAAACTTGTGATGGAAAAATATTATTTTCGTTAAAAAGTAGTTACTATGCTAACATTTTGCACACAACTGCATTGATTACAGAAGTAGCCAAAATGAAATGACTTCATTCTCCTTTTCTCTCACCCCTGGGTTTTTAAAAAGAATCTTATAGTTGTGTATTCTCTCTGCAGCTGACGTGCAGTGTGCCCAAATATTTGGAATAATGTATAGAAAACATCTGTTTTTAATTATGCTGTAGCTCATATATAGACAATGAGAATTGAATTAAAGAATATTTTGAAACCCCCATGGAGATATAAGAGTATTAACAGCTGCAATACAGAACAATACTGTTAAAAAGTTTGAAAATGTTTAACTTTACCAATCAACAGTGTTATACCTCTTAAATATTGATAATGCCTTTCAAAGGAATTTTTTAAAATGGGAAAGCAAATGACAAACACAAACACACACACACACCCCTAACATTTTAAAGGATCACCATATTAGAATAAGGGGAAAAATAATAAAAAGGTTTCGGGAAGTCCTTTTAATTCTTTATATTTTTGTATATGTAAAGTATTGTTAAAAAGAGAATTCTAAAAAGAATTTCAAAACAGCTATTTAGTTTGGACATTAAACTTTTAACTGAACAGTTTATAAATCTACCAGAAAAATATTTTTTTAAGAAAATGGAAATATCCATGAACATGATACCTCTTTCAGAAATGATTTTTAAATTCTTTTGGATCTTGCACTTATGCAAGAATGGCGCCTCTCTGCTTTTCCTTAAAGCAGCCACTTTTTTTTTCAGGCTTACTCATCAGCTTTAAAAAAGATCCTCATATTTTAGGAATAGCTTTAATGAGTTGACTTCTGAAAACCAAAACATACTTTTTTTCAAGTTTATGCTGAAACATTGCTTGAATTTAATAGCACAGAGGTGCTGTTCAAAGCATCTCTTCCATCATTCCATCACCATGGCTACATGCTTTCTACAGTTTTTTTTAATTTTTATTGATTTATTTGATAAGTCAATCGCTTACAAGATAATAGGTATAAGTATAAACAGTTATGAATACAGGAAATGGTTACATATAAAAATAAATAAAAAGAAACAATAGGACAGGGACGATAGGCACGTTGGTGCGCTTATGCACGTCCCCTACAGACCTCTTAGGAAAGGGGTGAGGTCAATAGTAGACAGTCTAAGGTTAAAGTTTTGGGGGTTTGGGGAAGAAACCACAGAGTCAGGTAGAGTATTCCAGACATTGACCACTCTGCTGCTGAAGTCTTATTTCCTGCAATTAAGTTTGGTGCAGTTAACCTTGAGTTTGTATCTATTGTGTGCTCTTGTATTATTATGGTTGAAGCTGAATTATTCATTGACAGGTAGGACATTGCAATGTATGATTTTATATACTATACTTAGATTGGACCAAAGGTGGTGTAGTTCTAGGTTTTCTAGGTCTAGAATTTTAAGTCTGGTGGCATAAGGTATTCTGCAACAAGTATTAGAGTGGAGAACTTTTCTTGTGAAATATTTCTGGACTTTCCCAACTGTGTTAATATCAGACACGTAATGTGGGTTCCGGACTGATGAGCTGTATTCAAGTATTGGTCTAGCAAATGTTTTGTATACTCTAGTTAGTAGTGTGATATTACCAGAGAAAAAGCTATGTAGGATTAGGTTAACAACTGTTAATGCCTTTTTGGCTATGTAGTTAGAATGGGCTCTAGCACTTAGATCATTAGAGATGAGTACTCCAAGATCCTTGACAGAGTTTGGATCATCAACAAGGTCTTGAATATTCAGCTTCTATTTTATTTTCTGATTTTTGTTGCCAATATGTAAGACAAAGCATTTATATGTTGAGATTGAAGTTGCCATTTGTTTGACCATTCTGAAACATAGTTGAGGTCTTTTTGAAGGGTAACAGTATTTTCTGTGGTGTTGAATAGCTTTACATCATCAGCAAATAGAACACAGTTGCTCTTAATATGATCACAGAGGTTATTTATGTAGATTATAAAGAGAGTTGGTCCTAGAACACTGCCTTGGGGACACCACTGTTGACAGGTACAGAATTTGATAGGACACTCCAAATTTTGACTATTTGTTGTCAGTTTGACAGGAATGCTTCTATCCAGTTATGCAGGTGTCCAGAAATACCGTAAGATTTTAGTTTTAGTAGTAGTTTGTCATGTACCACTGAACCAAAGGCTTTACAAAGTCTATGTAGATTGCGTTTATTGCTTTGCCCTGATTGAGTTGTATAACCATGTTTTTGCAGTGTAAGAGTTGCAGATTACAGGATAGTTTTTTTCTGAAATCAAATTGTTCAATCTATGCCTGTAACTATTAATTTAAAATGTAGTAGATTTTTAACATAACATATTGAATTATCCATTCATTCATATACTTTATTGCAAAACCCCTCTAAATCATAAGCACCAAGATTTTTCAACTGTAATCATTTTTCAATGATTACATGATTAGTGGCTGTAGTAGGTGTGTCAAACTCAAGGCCCATGGGCTGGATCCAGCCATGGGTACTTAGATTTGGCCCATGGGGCCGCCCTGGGAACAGCAAATGACCAGCCTGCAGTGTCTCTGTCAGAGAAAACGGAACTCAGGAGGGCCACAGACAGGGCCCATTTTCAGTGGCTTCCTGAAGCTCTCTGCCAGCAAAAACAGAGCTCCGGGGAGCTCCGATTTCGCTGGCAGAGGGATAGCAAAACACACTAAAAATAAAACAAAAGAAGAATGTTTCCCTTTTGCATTTGAGCATGCAAGAAGGGACAGGAAAGGAGAAAGGGAAAGAGGAAAGAGAAAGAAAAAGAAAAAAGGGAAGATGGGAAGAGAGCATGGAAGGAAAAATAAGGAAAGAGAGGACGGAAGATGGAAGGAAACAGAAGAAAAGGCAGGCAGGCAGGAAGGAAGGGAGATTATAATGAGAATGAGGGAGGGTCTGAAGGAAGTCCTGCCTTGGCCAACACAGATGCTCCCAACATGAGTGACGCTGAGCTGGCTATGCCCACCCTGGCCTCTGACGTCAACCACAATCCTGAAGCAGCCCTCAATAAAATCAAGTTTGACACTCCTGGGCTATAGTATTTTCAAAAGAATCATGCAGAGTGAGGGGTAATAATGAACATGAATTCTAGACCTCTTTGGCATGAAAGCCAATTGGTTAACTTTGTGCCATTCACGCTTTCTCAGCCCAACTCACAAGATTATTTTTTGTGGGAAAAATAGAAGGATGATGGGAATATTAGGCTTTTTTGCTGCCTTGACCTGACCAAACCATCTATTTAAAAAGTTAGGATAAAATATCATCACCATCCTCCTCCTCCTCCACCAGCACCAGAATATCCTCCACTCATATAATCATAATCAGCAACTGTTGTGAAATGAAAACAAGATTTCCATTTAGCATATATAATTATGTCTTAGCCAACCTCAAAGTATTACATATTATGATTAGATCAAGGTTCATTTGGTTACAGAATAAAATTGTCATTTAAAATCATTTTTAATATGCTCACCAGTTTTGCGGAGTGGAAAGTCATCCTTGGCATCTTGTGCTCCCGGCAATGTGTATTTATATGAAGGAGATGTACCACAAAGAGGAGGAGAAGCTTGATCCAGTGAGGTATGGTGGGCAGCCCTATGAAAAAGTAGTTATCATTGATTAGTATTACTTATGAATCTACAAATTAGAAATGATTTTGCTGTATCATATCCTCAAAATGTCCAGACACCTAACACTCTCCCAACAATTCAGGAGATATAAGTCTAGAGATCTGTCCTCTGGAAAAAGCAAGTTCCTGCTACCTGATTTTAATTTAATTTAATTTAATTTTTAATTTTTATTTCTTTAAATACATCTTTGGGTGAACAGTGTGGTTACAGGTCTTTAACATTTTAAAGTAAACATGACCCTAATTATATATTCCAACTATTAACTTTCTTATTTGATTTCATATTATTGCCTATTACCCATTTTTTCTGATTATAATTTTATTGCTTTGTCTTTTTCAAATCAAAGAGTGCATCAAAAGAGGAAGACATCTATAAACCTTTTAAATTTTACCAGAAGGAATAAGACTGTCTAAAGGGAGTAGCAGCCTTTTGCTTTGTGTTTCCCTGAAGATAAGATCCATCCAGAAAATAAGTCCAAGAATGAGTTTTAGTGTGTGCTTAATATAAGCCCTACCCCCAAAATAAGTCCTAGTTAAGAGCCTGCCCACTCCATTGGAAGTTGGATTGCTTCAGCTGCGAGGAACCTGGCCTATGGTTTCCATCGCCCAGGCTTCCTGAAGTCCATAGCAGCTGAAGAGTTTAGCTGAACCGTGAAGTTGAACGCACCCGTAAAGCAGTAGTGCAACCTGAGCAAGGAAGCCTTGTGAGCTTTGAGGGTGCTAGTGCCTGTATTTCCACAGCTATGCACAGAATTCATACAGACCTTCCCACTGGTATTCAAGGAGGCTAATCATGGTAAATACAAATATTTGTTAAAAAAAATAAAGGGATGGATTACAATATTGATGATGAATATAAATGACAAGAAAGTTTCCAAAGCCTTCCTATCACATTGAGTGAAACCTGAATCACCTCACAGAGTGCCCTGGCTAACTGGGTCAGAGGGCTGCGGCTGCTACCGGACACTGTCACACTCATGCACTCACTGCTTCCTGTGCATGCATGGGTGGGGGATAGGCCTTGTGATGAAAAAAAGAGAGACTCCCCTTAAAATAAGCCCTATCTTTTTGGACCAAAAATAAATATAAGACTGTCTTATTTTCAGGGAAACATGATAAATGGGTATTTTGAGATTGGCCCTTGTCTCATATATTACTCCTTCTGTAAACAGACAATTATGATAATACATGCTATAATACAGACCCACTACATTGACTACCACCATCATCATCAACATAATTATGAAAGTTTTCCTAAAAAACATGCAAAATTTTCATTTAGACAAAAAATGCCATTGTATTCGTAGAATATAATTATTCTATTTTAATTCAAAAGAGAATTAAGGGAAACCAATGGGACTGGTAGTTGACTTATATCAAAAATACTGTATTCATAGGACATATCTGAAAATTCAAAAGGGAAAAGTAAGGAAGATGCAGTACCTCTTCTCTCTTCTATATTGAATAGCATATGGTTAAATTAACTTTATCCCTGATGAATAATAGTCCTATTATTTGATACCACAAAGATGGCTTAAGATGCAAAAAGATAAACATACATGTGCCAGAGCTTGTGGCGCCGGCTAGTGGAATGAGTCTTTCCATTAGATAGTGAGTCTTTCGCCGCTGATTTACTCAGCAGGAACTCTTGAAGTTTCTGCTTCACTTCAGTACTGGCCACCGCTCCTAAAACATACACCATTTTTTATCATTCCATTCATATATGCCCATGCATTTCATTGAAGCTTTCTAGCTTTGATTGTGAGCCAAACTAGTATCTAATAAAAATTTAATATGAGTAATTGTGAACAATTAATATGAGCAATTGCTATGGCAGAATTAAATAAAATAATGAAAAGAAAAACAATGTCGATTAAAATTGTGTAGCATATCTTTTAGCTTCATTGAAACCATGTAATACAATAAAGGGAAATAAAACCAGTGTGTGTAATAGTTAAGGGAATTGGACTAACAATAAGGAATTCCAATTTCAAATCTGATTTCAACCATGATACCTCAAAGGCTAATTTTAGATCAGTTGTAGTCACTTACACAGCTGTTGTTAGGAAACACTGATAGGAAAAGTACAGTGTATTCCATCTTGAATGGCCCTGAAGAAGACGTATCAATCTAACAAATAAGCAACATCAGATATGGGTTCACTCTTGGTTTTGTGATCTGAAGAGTGATGAGTGCAGATGTTTTCTAGCATTAAAGCAAGCATATTCAACTGGAATTGTTTTATACTGTTATTGCCTTTTTCTTTTTGACCAAAACTGATCTCTTGAACATTATTTAAACCAGAGGAGGCAACCTATTGCTAGAAGACAATATTTGGCCTCATCACCATGTATTTCCATATGTGAGGCAAACTGGATCTATTTCCACACTGAATTCCCACTGTGTAAAATATATGTAAATTCTAGTCCCTCCCCCTAAATGTCATCACTGAAAGCATTCTGAGAAGCTAAAAAATATTTTAAAAAACATGATTTCTACACGATAAATATTTCCCACCCTTGTTTTAAATTCTGTAGTATAAAATTCCACACTATGTTTTTATATAGTTGTTCTGTAATGTCTATAGATGTATGATTTTAATCAGTTTTTAGTTTGCAACTGATGTACTGTGCTATGTTCATAACTGATATCTTTTGTGGAAATACTATATATAATGTACTGATTATGAACCAAATTCCTAATAGAGATCAAAGAATGGTTTCATGTATCATTACTTTCAAGGTCTAATTCTTTATATTAAAGAGTAATAAGCATGCATTAGACTAACCAATACTGCTATAGTCACAACAAATGAAAGTATGAAGTATATGTTATTATAAGCTTAGTATAAACAAAGAGGGAATACTCTGAAATATGTGTTTTATTGTTATAAGTAACACAGAGGAAGAATCTTTTTTCAAAATCTAACACTTAATATTATGCTACTGCTAAATTTATACAATTCTCCTCTAAAATGAAAGCATATAGAAAGAATACAATAACATTATCAATTTTTCTCAATATTGGCACACAATACATTATCAGTGAGAAATTCCAGAGAGAAAATAAAGGCATCTGATGTTATAATTTGTTTCCTTCTATAAGTAGCATTTTGAAATACTGAAATATTTGGCCTTTACTTCCATTCCCTTTGTGAGCAGACTTACATGCATCTATCTCCCCCTAGTGTATATCACATTCTAGTAATGTCTTTCTTTTCAACTTTGTCTTAAAACACAGAAACACAGACCTATGTTATTAAAAGCCAAAAGAGCTAAATTTTGGAACTGAGATAATAGAAAGAATATTTCATGTCTTCTCTAATCTATGCAGAATATACCTCCATATTTATGTGTACATTATAATGGAAATACAATAAAAAACTTAAAATATAGAATAGGATTAATTTATATTTTTAGGGAATTATATACTCAATCTGTATAGAATTTTATTGTCAGGCCATATTTTTATAAAGAGGGATAATGAAGATTGGTGGGAGAGATGTACAAAACTTAGATATCCTCTTCTAGCCTGATTGAACAGATCTTACTTTCTCGGCTTCTTTCTCTGCTTTTGATTGGTGGACATTGCTCCCTGCGATGTCTTTCCAATTCCTGTTCTTGCCTCTGTTGCTCAAGTTTCTGTTCTTTTTCAAGAAGTTCCTGTTGATACTTAATGGCTAAGAGTTCCTTTTGCAACTTGTAAAAAAGACAAAGTCATGAGAAAGTGCAGTTTTTATGGTAGCATTGGCTATAATAAGGGCTTCACAAACTGTGAACATAAAAAAGTAGCTCTTAGAATTTGCTAGCTAGAATAGCTACAGCTACAATTCTGAAAGCTGATCCATACATTTGAGAAATCTGTACTATAATATTTAAAATGTTAGAAAATACAATTCTATTCTACTCCATTTTGGCATTGATTTGTAAATATTTTCATTAAAAGATCACAGGAAATAAGTGCAAGGTTTTTGAACACGCTATTCTGATTTCTGATTTCCTTTTTGCAATAAATGTATCTAATCTATTTCTATATGAAATCTATGTGTCTATGTGTTTGTATTTGGATCAAAAAGTGAATTACAAAGGTCATGAAATGCAAAAACATAAATAATTGTGTTCCAATTAATTGGAAAGTGTGAACTTTACAAATGTAAATCAAACTATTTATAAAATTATTTATAAATTAAATAAATGTTCTATTCCACATAAATATAATTCCCCTAAAAGTAAAAAAACTAAGTTATCAACAATTAAGGTTTAGTTCCATCTGAATTAAAACACTATGGATTACTACTAATGACAGCAAAGAATTCTTCTGTTCCTAGTACCATCTAGTGGTGATCTAGATATTGTAATTCCCTACTAATCGCTAACTCATTTCACTTATTTCAAGAAAAATTATGGCTAAGTAGTATTCTTGTTTATGGTTAGTTGTTTAACAGATTTTAATGCTATTTTTATATAAAGGGTATCAGTCTTAACTAAAAATAAATTCAGACAGCTGACAGCCAAAAAAATTTATTAAAGGATTTCCAGTTTCTGACTGAATCTCTCTTAAAAATGGAATCTCTCTTAAAAATACTTATTGTATATCTAATGATATGGCTTTCCTGGTGGGTTGCTTTTCAAACAAGACCTTTAACATGAGAAATCTTTTTGTGCTGTTTTTTTCTCATTTACTACATTGCTAACATTCAATTTGTTCATTATGTTATAAGCAAAGGATATATTTTCATATGCAAACTTAATCTAATATGTTAGAATAGAATGGAATAGAATTCTTTATTGGCCAAGTGTGATTGGACACACAAGGAATTTGTCTTTGGTGCATATGCATATTATGAGAAGCAAACAGAAGCATGGAATTAAAAATAAATAAATAAGATATATCAAGTTCCTTAGAAGGTATAAACTGAAGCCACATATTAAATGATTTAGCACCAAAAATTTACATTTATTATGTTTACTTTAATGATCACTGATTATTTAATGATCATTATTCCAAATATAATAAACATTTTCAAATATACTTCTAAAAGCATACAGATAAAGGCAATCTGCTGAATAAATGCTAAATAATTCTGATATTTAGAAAAATAGGATCTTAAAGTTTAATTCAAAATCTAAGCTCTTTAAAAATTGTGCTGAAATTTGGAAAGTGTTGTTCAAAGAACCAGTCCTTATATTTTAACCGGCCATTTGATTCCATTTATAAGTTTTTTTAAAGAGACAAATGGCAGTATAGTATTTTTAAGCAGATCAGTATCTTCCAAAGGGGCTCTCAAATTTGCTAACTTTATTTTGTCTTCCAATAACTTATTTTGCTGTAGTTGCAAATAACTGTTCTTACATGTATATCTGCATTCAAGTGAGAGGCAGATAGATATGGCAGAGTGAGGGACTAATATAAACTTTCATCACATATCATGTTGATATACAAGAAAAATAATTCAGTCACTCAATTTCTACAGTAACCAACCCCTTCCCCATCCTGATGTACTATGAAGAGAAAAAAAATCTGCTACCTTCATGTGCTCTTGGATCTGTGCTTGGTGCTGTCGTGTCAGGTTCTCATGCTGTTTCTGAAATTCTTCTATCAAAAGCTGTTTCTGAATCTGCTGCTGATGTTGAATCAGGATTAATTCCTGTTGTAACTGCTTTTCCTGCATCAAGGGATCCATCATGGGTGCCATCATCCTGATATCAGTTCGCAAATCTAATGGTCTGACTTGTTCTAATCCAAGAGGAATTTCTGATTTCACATCCACTAATACAAAAAAAAAAGATAGAGAAATAGATTTAAATTTTGTGCATATATGAAATGAAGATTTGCTTCCTATCTCCTTAAATAGTTGTTGTTTTCTCTGGCCTCTTGATAATGCAGTAAAACTGGAGATTATCATCAATGGTCTTTTAACTTTCCAAAGAAATTTTGATAGTATTTGTTGTCAGAGATTTCAGTAAAACCCAAAGCTCTACCTTTGTTAAAATAATTTAAAAGTAATGTGCTATAGATAAAAAAAAAACTGCTGCTGGTTTTAAGTGATGCTTATAACATGTCATTTGGTGCTTAATATCAAAATTAAATATTTTTCATAACATCAGGCAATCCAGATTTCAATATCAAATATTAAGGGAGAGAATATTTCTTCTGATTAAATTTTTTATAAGTTTTGTTTTCCTTTTAAATTTAGAGTAGGTTGTTAAAGAAAATAGAATAATAATCCACCGTCACTTCATGGAAGTTGTTTCATTCATTTTATATGATATTCTTCTGCTTATGCATTACATTTTTGTTTGCATTATTCTTTATGAAAGGTTAAGTTAAATATTCATTGGTAATTGATTAATTGGTAAATATCGGAAAAAAGAGTATTGGACAATTCTTATGTTTTTATGTAATAATTTGCAAAAAATAGATAAAACTTTTGTTATTTAAATACTATGGCTAACTATGAAACTCTATAAGAGGCAGTTTATATATGGTACAAAAATATACTTTATAAATACAAACTTGTAAAGCCTCTTAAGTTGTGAACATTCACAAAACATGTTCAATAAATCCCCAATGACATTCATAGGAATGTAAATGTCTGTAATAGATTTCTGATATGAATGTGTAAGTTACATAATTTTCATATTTGTGATGTTATGAATTCAGAATGTCATTTATATTATCTTGTATTATCATTTGCCTTCCATCCCTTGCAGAAATCCATTAATATATGATTCTATCTTAGACCACTAGGCCATCTAGTTCCTTCTACTGTATGGATTTACAGCAGTTCTTTCTTGTTGCATAGAAATACCAGGGCCAGGGGATAAAAACAGAAATGAAATATAAAACTTCATTTCCTTGACTCAACTATACTGAAATTCCTGCTAAACTAATTTGCTACCTTTGGGCATTCAAACAGAAAGGCCATAGCTCTAAAAAAATATAAATTTGTCCAATTTATAGAAAGACAAGCAACTATGAAATATTTAGAATATTTGATGTTCTTCTTTATTTTTTTATTAGAGATGGGCATGGTCTCTAAATATAGCTATTAACAGTATCTTTTTGTAATTGTAGTTTAGTGACGCCTCTAGCTTTTTAAAAATATTGGTTTGATATCTATGTACATATCTGAATACAATATTTTTATTCAAATATATGAATGAAAGTTCTATGTAAAGTTTTTAAATGGTGGATGGAGGGGAACAGCCTGATCAGAAGAATACCCATGATGCAAAACAGATTAGTTTACATCTCATCCAGAAGAGGGCACTATATACAAGTATATCAAAGAGATCTTCAAACAAAAATGTACTACAGATTTGCCTCATTTCTTGGTACATGTATCAGAAAACATATATTTGGACCAATATGCAGCTTGTTTTTTTTTTTAATAGAATAGAATTATTTATTGGCCAACTGTGATTGGACACACCAGGAATTTGTCTTGGTGCAAATACTCTCAATATACATAAAAGAAAAGATACATTCATCGAGTTAAGAATCATAAGGTACAACACTTAATGATATTCATAGGGTACAATGAGCAATCAAATCATACTAGGAAACAGTCAATAAAAAATGTAAGGGTACAAGCCACAAAGTTACAGTCATACAGTCACAAGTGGTAGGGGATGGGTGATAAGGAATGATGAGAAGATTAATAGTAATAGTGGTGCAGACTTTGTAAATAGCTGGACAGTGTTGAGGGAATTATTTGTTTAATTTAGAGAGTCTAAGGTTAAAGTTTGGGGGTTTGGGAAAGAAACTACAGAGTCGCTTTCTGCTTCCCTTAGTTCAAATAAATAAGGATGCATCACAAAACAGATTTGCATAACTATATCTTCTGATTTTTTAAAATATTTGCAGCAACAATGTAAGCTGAATGTTTATTTTTGCATATCTATTTTTTAATATATGATATTGGGAGTATAGATAGAAGACAGTAAACACCTCACTACTTCCTAGCAACAGATATAAAATATGATGTACTACCTGTACTACCATTTGTATAATTTTTTTATTAAAATGCAACTGTAAAGCTCAATACAGTTTATTTTCCCAGGTAACTATATTTGCTTCAATGGCAACATACAATCTCTTGCTTTTGTTCTACAATTTATCAGAACTGCAAATCCTTAAGTTACAAAAATTACTCCAATTATAATTTTTCCAAATCAAAAGCAGGTAGCATAATCTGAGTTCTGCTATTCAATTTCTACTGCAGCAAACTATATTCTATTTCTCAAGACTAAATATAGCAGCATTTATACAAGAAATCAATAGTGCTTGGAGTGAGGAGAGCGGAGCTGGCGTCGCGATGATACGGCATGCGACCTTGGAGGTCTGAAATCACTGCCGATATCTTTGCTCCTCGACGGTCCAAGTGGATCTAAACCGTCCCGAAGAGACGGTGAATGTAAAGAGCGCATCCTGTCGATCCCAGGGATACCGCAAAGTCCCTGGTAGATCCAGGAGAAGCTCTTTTTGCCAGTGGCAAAGAGGCAGGTATCTGCTATGGCGGCTTGGAGTCTGGATGCCTATTTCCTTACCAAATGCAGATTATAAAATTTTTGCTTCAATATTGGCAGAAAGACTTAAAAAATACTTAAACAATTTTATCCATCCTGATCAAAATGGATTTCTGTCAAAGAGACAAATTAAAGACAATATGAGAGTAATCTTGGACACTTTGGAATACTACGAGGCACATCCTGAAAAACAAATGGCTTTGATATTTTTAAAGGCACAGAGGGCATTTGATAATGTGAATAAGCAATTCATGTTATTACTGCTGGAACAGCTGGACTTTGCTAGAAAATTTATTCAAGCAATAGTAGCTATATATCATAAGCAAACGGCAAAGGTAATGATAGAGGGAGAACTGACAGACTCTATCGATATATGAAAAGGAACAAGACGAGGGAGCCCACTATCACCTTTCCTATTCGTGTTAACTTTGGAAGTGTTAAACAGAAATATTAGAGATGAAAAGAGTATAAAAGGAATGAAAATTAAAAAGGAAGAATTTAAACGGCAAGCCTTTGCGGATGATTTGGTTTTTATCTTAGAAGACTCTTTAGAAACAGCACCAAAATTATTGGAAAAGATAGAGTCATATGGCAAGGTGGCTGGTTTGAAAATAAATAAAGATAAGACAAAGATTTTGACAAAGAATATGTTATCAAGACAAAAGGAAGAATTGGCAGATCTATTGAAAATTCAAGTCACGAATAAGATCAAGTATTTGGGGATACATTTGACAGCAAGATGTAGTACATTAAAAGAGAATAATTATATCAAACTTAAACAGCAGATAGCGTTAGACTTGGCAAAATGGGAAAATCTACAACTGTCATTAATAGGGAGAATATCAACAATCAAGATGAATATATTACCCAAAATTTTATATTTGTTTCAAATAATTCCAATTAGGATTGGAAAAGACTACTTTGAAGATTTAAATAAAATTGTGTTGAAATATATATGGCAATGTAAGAAAGGGAGAATAAAGTTAAAACTTTTGCAAGATGCTAGAATAAGAGGAGGATTTGGTTTGCCTAATTGGGAGTTATATTACCAAGCTACAAATTTGATGTGGGTTAAGGAATGGATAACATTAAGAAATACTAGATTGTTGACATTAGAAGGACATGATCTGTTGTTGGGCTGGCATGCTTTTCTATGGTATAAAGGAACTAAAACACAGGGTTTTTTTTAGAAGACATTATATATGGAAGTCTCTGTGGTTAAACTGGGAGAAGATTAAAAAACAATGTTATTTGAAAATTCCAGTCTGGCTATTGACGAAGCATTTTCTTATCCTATAATATACAAAAAGGAACGAACAGTTAGATATGGTGAAATATTGAATGAAAAGTGTGAACTTAAATCTATACAAAAAGTAGAGAAACAAGGTATAATGATGAATTGGTTTTCATGTGCACAAATACATTCAAGGTATGATAAAGATTCTAAAACAGAAGGTTTCTATGATAAACTGACTGACTTAGATAAGATTTTTACAGGTACTGATGAAAAGGTGATTAAAAAATTGTATGGATATTTATTAGAAATTAAACTAGAAGAAGAACAAGTTAAAGAAACTATGATTGCTTGGAGGAAGAATTTTGGATATGGAATTGATTTAGAGAAATGGCAGAAATTGTGGTCTCAAAATTATAAAAGCATATAAAGAAAATTTGTATAAGATATTTACAGGTGGCATTTTCCCCCGACAAGAATAGCAAGAATGTTCAAGAATAAATCTGAAAAATGTTGGAAATGTCATCAGACACCTGGCTCATATTACCATATGTGGTGGCCTTGTGCAGATGCTAAAAAATACTGGACTAAAATCCACACGTGGTTGGAAAAAATGACAAAAAAACATAGATTTGAAACCAGAGATATTTTTATTGGGAATTTTACCTGAAATATATAGTAAAGACTTGAAATACCTAATTGTAAATGTATTAACAGCGGCTAGATTGTATTTGTTAAAAACTGGAAAAATGAGAAAACACCATCACAGGAGGAAATCATTAAGAAGGTATTGGAATGTGCTGAAATGATTAGATTGACATTTGAAATTAGAGAACAAGATGATAAACAATTTTATAAAATTTGGGATCTATTCTATCAATGGTTAGACAATAAAATATAGTAATGAAATATGTAGACTTTTAGAAAATAATAAATATATAAAGATGTATTCTTTTCTTATTATATCTACAAAATGATTTTAGGATAGATTTGGGATGATAATA